TGGACACAACTTAGTGACTAAACAACAATAACAATTTTTTAATGTATGCATTTAGGGTGCTATAAACTTTGCTCTCAGCACACCTGGAGCTCTGTGTGACAAATTTCAATATATGGTATTTTCATATTTTTATTCAGTTCAATGTGTTTTTCAGAAATTTCTCTTTAAACTTCCTTTCTTGACTCAATGGATTTTTTCCAAGAATCTTATGTGGTTTCCAAGTACTTGGTTCTTTTCCTGTTATTTTTCTCTTATCAACTTTGATTTTGATTCCATAGAACTCAGAGAATACATTCTATATGACATCAATTCTTTATATTTTTGAGATTGTTTAATGGCCCAGGATGTGATCCACCTTGGTATATATTCAATCAGCACTTGAAAAGAACGTATATTCTTGTGTTGTTAGGTGGAGACTCCTATAAATATCAATTTGATCCTGTTAGTTGGTGGTGTGGTGTTACATTCTCACATATTCTTGCACAGTTCTTGCTGAGTTCTATAACTTTTGAGAGAGGGATATTGAAGTCTCCAAATATAACTGTGGATTTTTCTATTGCTCCTTTTAATCCTATCAATTTTTGCTTCACCTATGTTGCAGGTCTGGTCCATACACACTTAGGATTGTTAAATACATCTTATTGGTGGATTGACCCTTTTATCATACAATATCCCTCCCTTGCTGTGGGAGAGTAACTCTTTATTCTGAGGTCTCTCTGATATTAATATAGCTACTCCTGCATTCCCTTTATTCATGTTTACGGGGTATGTATTTTTCTAATCCTTTATTTTAAATCAACCTATATATTTGAAATGTGTTTCTTACAAATAGCATGTAGTTGGGTCATGTTTTCAATACCCTCTGCCAATCTGTCTGTTAATTGATATATTTGTCCTACTTACTCTCAGTGTAATTATTAATGTGGTAGAGCTTAAGTCTCCACCTTTATCTGTTATTTTCTGTTTGTTCTCTATTTCTCATTTCTTTTTCCTGGCTTTTTCTCTTTCCTGCATATTTGGAATTTCATTTTGATTTACCTATAATTTTTTAAAAAATATATCTTTGTACAGTTTTTGTAGGAGTGACTCTAGTAATTACACCATATATTCACGACTTATCAAAGTCTGTAAGTGTTACTGTTTTACTAATTCAATACAGAAGCCTTACCTCCCTTTATGTGTCTAACCCTTCCTTTTTCATAATGCAGTTGTCTTAAGTATTTCCTCTAATGCATTTAGAACCATATCAGTGTTATAATTTTCACTTCAATCATTAAATAATTTAGAAAAATCAAGAGAAAAAGGAAAACCTATATTTACCCATGTTGCTTACCATATTCTTTTTTCCTTTTCTTTCTATTTAGAAAAATTCCTTTGCCATTTTTTTTTTTTTTTTAAGGGTAGGTCTATCTACTGGCAACAAATCCCCTTAGTTTTTCTTCTTCTGAGAGTGTCTTGATTTCCCCTTCATTCTTGAAGGATATTTTTTTACTGTATGTAGAAATCTATTGACAAGTTCTTCTCCTTCAGCACTTGTAAAATACTGCACCACTTCCTTCTGGCCCCCATGTTTTCTGATGACATATTAATTTTCATTCTAATTGTTTCTCCCCTTCAGTTAATATCATTTTTCTTTGGCTCCTTCCTAGAATTTTTGTATTTAGTTTTCTGAAGTTTACTTATGATGAGAATTTCAGTACTTCTTTAGACTTGCCTTTTTTCTCCTTTCCTCCTTGGACATCAGTGACACTAATGCTAGGGGTTTTGTTATTGTCACTTAGTTTCCTGAAGTTCTATATTTTATTTTTATTTTATTTTTTAGTCTATTTTATTTCTATTGCTCAAATTGGGCAGCTTCTATTGTTTTGTCTTTCGATTCATTAATTCTTTCCTTGTGCCCTGTACTCTGCCATTAAATCCATCTACTGAGCTGTTTTGTTTCCATTACCGTTATTCTTCAACTGTAAAATAACTTTTCAGTTCTTCTTTATATCTTCTCTTTCTTTGCAAGGTCTTTATATTTCCTTGCTGAGACTTTTTATTTTTTCATTTGTTTTAAGCATGCCTGTAATTGCTCACTGAAGCATTTTAATCATGGCTGCTTTAGAATCTTTGTCAGATAATTCTTACATCTCTGTCATCTTAGTGTTGTCATCTGTTGATTGTCCTTTACTTGTTTGGTTTAAGATCCTCCTGGTTCTTGGTATGACAAGTGATTTTTCACATGAAATCTAGATATTTTTGTATTGTTATATTATTCTCTTTTAATTGGGGTAGCCTTTAAAAATCCATTCTGACAGGGGAAAGAAGGGTGGGGGTGCTACCTCATTACTGCCTTGCCATTGCCAAGTGGATTCAATCTCCACCAGTTTCTCCCAGTCTCTGTTAACACCTGAAGGGAGACACCATGGGAGAGGCTCTCCAGGTGGTCTCTATTGACACCATGGTCTGGGTGGTCTCATTACTGCTGGGTGATGTTGAAAGTCCTGACTCTCCACTAGGCCTCTTCTGACACTCCATCAGTGGAGAGACATTGGGGTACCAGGTTACTGCCAGGTAGAAACTCAGGCTCCCCACCTGGTTTCCACTGACACTGCAGGGAAACCTCATTGCAGGTCAGTGGAAATAAAACTCCTAGCTCTTTACTTGACTTTTTCTTATTTTAAATGATTGTATATTTTTCTTTATTAGAATGATCATAAGAATGACACATAACACTGCCCTTCTGATAGAGTATTTATAGCTGACCTGTTGTCCCTCTCTGCATCACCATTTTTGTGAGGATGGAAATCTAGGCTCTCCACTTTGCTGGCATAGGTGGGGTTGAGGGCCATTTTTTTCCTTTGGTGTTGATTGAAGTAAAATACTTAGTATCTTAAAATTTTCTGGTTTGCTCGGCTGCCCCTTTCCTGGTTGACTAGAGAGAGCAGGATTTTGTTGGTTTTTTGTTGTCTGCACTGTTGGCCCTTCCAATTTGTTGGTTTCTTCAGTTCCAAATCTGTGATATATGAAGAAAAAGAAAACTCAAGGAACTCACCTTCATGTCTTTCCTTGGGTCCCAATGTTCCTAGATGGTCTGTCTTCTCTCCATCTTTCAGTCTTATATTTATTTTAAGTCTTATATTTCTTATATTTATTTTATATGTATGTTGTCCAGGGTTTCTAGTTGTATTTAGTGGAAAGAATAGGGAAAAGTATATCCACTTGATATTCCCAGAAACAGAAGTCCTCCTTGGCTGATGTTAATCAGTTCCTTCTGTGGGAGGTTGAACCATGTTCCTATGTTCCTATTTATTGACTAAGGGCACACTCCAAACAACTCAACTGTCTGGAGCCATGGGCTAGATCTGAGAACTGACATTCCCTGGAATCTAAAATATTAACCCACATACTCCAACAGCATGTTAGGAGAATATTCTTTGTTCAAGAAAGTTTTATTCTAAGAGCAAGAATATGGCTGTATCATCATGTCAAAGGAGAAAACCATGTGCTCATTCTATAAATGCAAAGATATGCAGTTGATAGACTTCAACATTCTTTCTGAAAAAAATTCTTTATAAAATAGATGTCAATTAATACTTCCTTTAAGCAATTAAAAGATATATCTCAGACTTCCCTGGTGGTCCAGAAGAATTTGCCTACCAATGCAGGAGATACAGGTTCAATCCCTGGTCTGGAAAAATCTCACATGCCATGGGGCAACTGAGCCCTTGCACCACAACTACTGAGCCCATACTCTAAAGCCCACAAGCTGGAACTATGAAGCCCACGCACCGAGAGCCCATGCTCTGCAACAAGAGAAGCCACCACAATGAGAAGCTTGCACACTGCAACAGAGAGTAGCCCCCACTTGCCACAAGTAGAGAAAGCCCTCACACAGCAATGAAGACCCAGCACAGCCAAAAAAGATAATAAAATAAACAAAGAAATAAAATAACGCCAATCAAATCAACATCACAGTTAGTGGTAAAACATGAGAATCTCTTCCACTAAAATTATGCCATGCAATCACTTCTGTTATTTAAACTTGTTTTGGGAGTACTAGCCAATGAAGTAGGCATGAACAGGATATAAGTAACAATGTCTGGCAACTATATTCTGGTTTTCATCTCCTTCTCCTATACTTTTCTTTGGAATTGACATTCACTATAGGATTGCATAGTTCATTCTCTAGCCTCAACAGTTTTTTGATTTTTTTTTTCACTCCAAATGCTTCATCATTCTAGTGATAGGAGTTGTGAGAGTCACATCTTATATACTTTGTATTCAGAATACTGTGAAAACAATAGGTACTCAGTGAGTATTTTCAGATGCATAATATGAAATGTAGTGTTAAAATTTTAATTAATTTGTATATATTACATACACCCTGGAAGGTAAATCAGTAATTTTGTCTTATTAAGGTTTGTTCAGAATCTAGTACTTTGTGATTCCATAGTAAATATTTGACATCAGTTTTTGTGATAAGCTCAAAATAACATATCTAGAATGCTCAATATTTTTCAATTAGAATTTGGCCAAATCATAATTGTTTTTATACCCAACATTTTTAGCTAAGAATCCTTTGGCTATTCTAAAATATTCTCAAAATTTGATGATACATATGCCATCAAAATGAAGCTTGAGTAACCTGAAAAATAATGTAAAGTACTCAACTACAGTTTCACTTTATAATTGTCACTCTACTTCTAACTTGCTGCACAACTGTCTAAAACATGAAAACAGAATATATGCTTGCCCTTTCACCCACTCCTATGGTTTCTAAATTGAGCTGAAAATGGTATGCAAAAGGTTAACCAAGACATTAATTTTCTAAGTTAAAGTACTTCAATTAAATTGTCCTTCTTCATATGAGATTTATAGTGCAGCCGCATGCACATCTGACACTCCAGTTTAGTTGTGATGATAAATTTTAAGTCGCCCTGCAACTAATCTGAGATCCTTTGACCAAAATCAACATGAAAACATTTTTTTTACAAAACATCAAATTTAAAATGTACCTCTGTTCCAGAGTGTTTATCCCTGATAACATCCATCTGTCTCGTAAATAGTTCTAATACAGCATTGTAGACCAGCTCATACTGTTGCTGAAGAACATCGCAAACCGGAACAAATGAAAATAAACAAAAACTTGGTGAACTAACAGAATCTCAGGAGTATGAATGCCAATCAAATCCTAGTATAGCAAACCTGAAACATTAGTTTAAAAATAGTGCCTTATGTCTGTGCAGCCCATGTCAGGTTTCAAAGCATTTTTAGGATGCTAGAAACAGCTAAATATTTGATCTACCTCTAGCTAATATACAAGGACCTTGCAGCACGCTTTTTATATTCTAACCCCACTTTCTTATTTATCTTTCCTTCCACTATCCTCCCTCTAATTTTGTTTGCTCACACTTTAAAATTTTCATTCCAGGGACTTCCCTGGAGGTCCAGTGGTTAAGACTCTGCTCTTCCATTGCAAGGGGCAAAGGTTTGATCCCTGGTGGGGAAACTAAAATTCTGCATGCCACATGGCCAAAAAAATAAAAAAATAAATTGTTTTTTATTTCATTCCAGATGCATTTTTGGGGGGTAATTCATCTCTTCTGGGAAAAGGTAGATTGATGTTCTTGATGGCTAATAGATAGCTTCGCTATGACTCTCACAGTTGATCTATAAAGCAGTTAGGTCGTTAACCCTGTTAACCTGATTTGCCTGAGATCATTCAGAAGTAATTTCAATGTCTTCGGTTAGTACCTGAACCTTTGACTCTTAGTTTAGTGCATTTGGATCAAGCTGCTGAAATTCTGTCTTAGCAAAGATACCAAAGAAAAGAAGACCACTAAATAGACTTTAGAAATTTGTGGTTATAAAGAAATTCCACTGCAGAGAAACGAGACCACTATCATTACAGGTTTATGGGTTTTTACTACCTTGTTTTTGCCTCTGTACTTGCTCAAACACTTGATTTTTGGATCTATTTTTCATCTAAATAGGCCTGTTCAGGTTTTTCGATGACACTTCACACAATCGTATACAAACAAAATATAACTTTTGCCAAAATAATAGTAGCAGGAGAATAGTGCAGAGACTGTATCATCCAACACAGCCATTGGCCCACTCTTCAATTTTTTCTAAAGAAGACAGGAAAATCAGATAGGAAGCACTCATCTGGTTATAGTGCTATTTCCTGGTTAGAGCGGTATCAGAAAAAGCAGCTACAGCAGGTAAGTTATTTGCCCAAATAGTTGTTGATGATGCCAAAATGTGAAAGCTAACTTAAAACTATGTCAGCTGTCTTCCAACTCTTACATATAGGCCTGAAATGGACTTTTTCTGAAATGATGTATGACTTTATTTATTGATTCAGTAATACAGTTTAATGTTATACAATTAGGTTGCATACTTCCTGGAATCTTTATACATCTACATGGATTGGCCTTCTCTTAAGTCTGACAGCCTTAAACCAGCCAATGCTTTCATTTCACATAAACTTTCCCCCCTAAAGGTTGAATATAGAAAACACCTACAGTCATACACATGAAAAAGAATTCTCTTTTTCCACTAACTATTAGCGGAAAACCTGTGTGGGCCAAACAGAAGGTTTATATTATAATAGCTCTAATTTTTTCCCTTTGATTTACAACTTTTACATAAAAATATCTAAAGTACCACTGTCAATTGTTTTACTTCTAAACCTGTGTTCAAGTTCATTTGTAAGTGCTTTAAACACTGCTGCTGCTTCTGCTAAGTTGCTCAGTCGTATCCGACTCTGTGCAACCCCATGGACAGCAGCCCACCAGGCTCCCCCGTCCCTAGGATTCTCCAGGCAAGAACACTGGAGTGGGTTGCTATTTCTTTCTCCAATGCACAAAAGTGAAAAGTGAAAGTGAAGTCACTCAGTCATGTCCGACTCTTAGCGACCCCATGGACTGCAGCCCACCAGGCTCCTCCGTCAATGGGATTCCAGGCAAGAGTACTGGAGTGGGCTGCCATTGGCTTCTCTGGCTTTAAACACTAGGGTCTTATTATTTTAGCAATAAGAAATAGTTCTAACAAACTATGCAAAAATGTGCTGTGTGCTTAGTTGCTTCAGTTGTGTCCAACTCTTTGTGACCCTATGGACTGTAGACCACCAGACTCCTCTGTCCATGGGATTTTCTCGGCAAGTATACTGGAGTGGTTTTCCACTCCCTCCTCCAGGGGATCTTCCCAACTCAGGGATGGAATCTACATCTCCTGCGTTTCTTGCTTTGTACACAGATTGTTTATCCCTGAGTCATCAGAAAAAAAGTCACCATGAAAAAAGTCTCTTACCTAATAAAAACCAATGAATGTTTGATGAAAGAATGAATGGGCAAATGCTAAACTCTATCTTAAAGATGGAGACCATTTAGAAATATAGGTAAAATTATTGGTGTTGAAATATGTATAAAATATGGGTGTTGGGCTTCCCTGGTGGCTCAGATGGTAAAGAAGCTGCCTGCAATACAGGAGACCCAGGTTCAATCCCTGGGTTGGGAAGATCCTCTGGAGAAGGGAATGGCCACCCATTCCAGTATTCTGGATACTGGATAGAGAAGCCTGGCAGGAGAATTCCATGGATAGAGAAGTCCATGGTTGCAAAGAGTCAGACACGACTGAGCGAGATAACATATACATGGGTGCTGAAATACTATAGAATGTGAGAGATTTGGGCTGGGAATGTTTCACCTAAGAGGTAGAATGTGAGTTGGAGAAGAGAGAACAGGTGGAAAGCATTTCTTATGGAATGAATAGGTATGAGCAATCTGGGGTGGGTTAATCATATACTATGATACATATATAATCATATATATATAATATTGTAATTATGGAGTTTTAAAAAATTTCTTTAAATATTCATACAATAAGGACCAGGAAAAACTATAGAAAAATAGTAACAGTGACTCTCTCTAGGTGACAGGATTATGGATGATTTGTAAATTTTTTATTATTTTCTAAAATGAAGAAAATAATATAATTCTCCAGATTCTGTTACCACCTCCAGAAGAAGAAATTACAAATCTCTAATTTTGTATGGTTTCAGAAATGAATTACCACCACAAAATTTCAGGTTAACCTGACCCAGCTATTTCTTTCCAATAGGTCAAATAGTTTTATAGATTTTTTCAATATCCTTTGTAAGAACTGTTATATTTCTTTCTTAATATTTTCTGAACAGACAATAAAATATAAGGAATGAAAGGAATTTGGTCCAGGGCAAGGTATACAGGAAAAATATTGGGATATTCAGAGTTAGAGGAAGTGGAAATGAACCAAAATCCTTGATAGTAAAGCAGTCAGCTATTTTTGGATGCCTTGCTGTTACTAAATAAAGAGATGGAACTAGACTCAGACATGTTATATTATTCCCCATAGTCCATACCTGAGTTTGAACTAATGAAGGCCTCTGTGTTCGCATTTCCTGGATCAGACTAAAAACACTGAAGTTCTCAGGAATTATCTATCAAAGAAAAGGAAAAAATATCTTACTCCTTTGTTCCTATCTAGAAAAGAAGAATGCACTTTTAAAACTAATGAGGTTTTCCATCACTTGCACCATTACTTAGAGCCTATGAAATACTGAAGAAACTCTTCAGAATGATTTCACATTGGGTGATCAAATGTCTGAAGTTAAAAATATAATGAGGGAACACCTCACTCACACCAATGGACAGATCATCAAAACAGAAAATTAATAAGGAAACACAAGTCTTAAATGATACATTAGACGAGATGGATCTTATTGATATCTTCAGGACATTCTATCCAAATGTAGAAGAATATGCTTTCTTCTCAAGTGCACATGGAACATTCTCCAGGATAGACCATATCTTGGGTCACAAATCAAACCTCAGTGAATTAATGAAAATTGAAATCATATCAAGCATCTTCTCTGACCACAATGCTATGAGTGAAGATATCAATTACAAGAAAAAAACTGTAAGAAACACAAACACATGGAGATTAAACAACACATTTCTAAATAACCAAGAGGTTACGGAAGAAATCAAAAAGGAAATTAAAAAATTTCTAGAAACAAATGACAATGAAAACATGACAACTCAAAAGCTATGGGATGCAGTGAAAGCAGTTCTAAGAGGGAAGTTTATAGCAATACAATCCTACGTCAAGAAACAAGAAAAACTAACTTTACACTTAAAACAACTGGAAAAAGAAGAACAAAAAAAAAAACCACCCAAAATTAGTAGAAGGAAAGAAATCATAAATATCTGAGCAGAAATAAATGAAAAAGAAATGAAAGAAACAATAGCAAAAGTTAATAAAACTAAAAGTTGGTTCTTTGAGATAAACAAAATTGACAAGCCTTTAGCCAGACTCATCAACAAAATTAGCAATGAAAAAGGAGAGGTTACAACAAACAATGCAGAAATACAAAGGATTATAAGAGACTATTATGAACAACTATATGGTAATAAAATAGATAACTTGGAAGAAATGGACAAATTCTCAGAAAAGTTCAATCTTCCAAGACTGAACCAGGAAGAAATAAAAATTATTAACAACCCAATTACAAGCACTGAAATTGAAGCTGTGATCAAAAATCTCCCAGAAAACAAAAGCCCAGGACCAGATGACTTCATGGGAGAATTCTATCAAACATTTAGAGAAGAGCTAATGCCTATCCTTCTAAAACTCTTTCAAAAAATTGTCGAGGAAGGAACACTTCCAAGCTCATTCTATGAGGCCATTATCATATTTGGTATTCTATGATACCAAAACCAGACAAAGACAGCACAAAAAAAGAAAACTATAGGCCAATATCACTGATGAACATAGATCCAAAATCCTCAACAAAATTTTAGCAAACAGAATTCAGCAACACATCAAAAAGCTCATACACCATGATCAAGTTAGGTTTATTCCAGGAATGCAAGGATTCTTCAATATACACAAATCAATCAATGTGATAAACTATATTAACAAACTGAATGATTAAAAACCATATTATAATCTCAATAGATGCAGAAAAAGCCTCTGACAAAATTCAGCATCCGTTTATGATTAAAACTCTTCGAAAATGGGTATATAAGGAAACTACCTCAACATAGTAAAGGCCATTATGATAAGCCTTCAGCAAACATTGTTTTCTATGGTGAAAAACTAAAAGCATTCCCCCTAAGATCAGGAACAAGACAAGGGTGTCCACTTTCTTCACTGTTATTCAACATATTTCTAGAAGTCCTAGCTAGAGCAATCAGAGAAGAAAAAGAAACAAATCCAGATCAGAAAAGAAGAAGTAAAGCTCTCCCTGTTTTCAGATGACATGATACTGTACATGGAAAACCCTAAAGACAGTGAGCAGCTCGGGCGGCGGGAGGAGAGACAGCGGTCAGGCTACTCAGCTTCGCTAAGGCTCTCGGCGCGGCGCGGCCCTCAGGCACTCACCCGCCCCGCCGCCACGATGCCCAAGAGGAAGGTCAGCTCCACCGAGGGTGCGGCGAAGGAGGAGCCCAAGAGGAGATCGGCGAGGTTGTCAGCTAAACCGGCTCCTGCAAAAGTGGAAACGAAGCCAAAAAAGGCGGCGGGAAAGGATAAATCTTCAGACAAAAAAGTGCAAACAAAAGGGAAAAGAGGAGCAAAGGGAAAACAGGCGGAAGTGGCCAACCAAGAGACTAAAGAAGACTTGCCTGCAGAAAATGGAGACTGAAAACGAGGAGAGCCCAGCCTCTGATGAAGCAGAAGAGAAAGAAGCCAAGTCTGATTAATAACCACAGGCTCAGTCCTGTCAGTGGTCCCTGTTTCCCTTCTTGTACAATCCAGAGGAATATTTTTATCAACTATTTTGTAAATTCAAGTTTTTTAGTAGCTCTAGAAACATTTTTAAAAAGGAGGGAATCCCACCTCATCCCATTTTTTAAGTGTAAATGCTTTTTTTT